CTAGCTTATCTCTGAGATAGTTATACAGCTCTTGATTTGGATTTCTGGCTATAATATGTAAATGACTGAACACATTTGGTGAATTCTTCAAAATGTGGAACACAAGATTGTTTTTACCACTGAAAGACGGACCAAGTACTAGCATGCGAAAAAGTCTCTTAATACCAAGTTCTTTGATTTCCCCAAGAGATCCGGATTGATACTCTTTTGGTAATGCCGCTCCATAGTTGGGTATAGACAAATTTGGACATCTGACAAAGCCGCTCTGATCATCGATCGAATTCATAGTTCGCCTGCTTTATATTACATCAAATATAAGATATCATGACAATATCTATTCGACCACCAACCATTGACTCTAACATATTCAATCCCAATTTTTTCATCAATAGTGGTGATGCTTTGACTATTGAAGTTGCTGACCAGTTATATATTGGTCGAAACGACTATCGTTTAACTTATATCGATGGTATTGTAGCCGGCGAGGCCAACGCATTTAAGGCATTGGTCTTGGATGCTAATAAAGATGCTTCAGGAATTAGAAATATCAGCTGCGCCTCATTAACTCTAAATGGTTCAGCTGTTGATCTTAGTAAGCTATCATTGCTAACAGCAACACCAGGTACAGCAACCGCTAGTAAAGCTCTAATCACTGACGCATCAAACAATTTGACTGATCTATTCACTCTTACAACCAAAGGGTCTAATGCAAGCAAGTCTCTTGTCATTCAGAATGATACAACGTCAAGTTCAGCTTCATTCAATATTGTATCTTACTATCAAATGGAACAAGGAGTACAAGGTACTTCAAACGCCACAACACCCAACTGTTACTTTTGGCGATTCGGAAATAGCGACCGTTTGTTGATGGATTCAAATGGAAATATAAGTGTTGGAGGTGCTTCAATAAATGCGTCATACAAGCTTGACGTGAATGGAGCAATAAATTGCTCAAGCCTCCTAATAAATGGTGCTAGCTATGATCTGTCCAAGCTATCACTACTTAGTGCTACACCTGGTACAGCAACTGCGAGTAAAGCTCTTATCCCCGATTCGTCTAACAATCTATCAGATCTGTATACGCTTACACTTAAAGGATCGAATTCAAATAAGTCTCTTGTGATACAAAACGACGCGACGACAAGCGCCGCTTCGATGAACTTCGTTAGCTATTTTCAAGCCGAAGTTGGTGTCCGTGGGTCTTCTCATGCTACGACACCTAATGTCTTCTTCATCCGATATGGCAAC